TTTTCCCTGTTCCCCCATATAAACTCTAATCTGCTGTCCATTACTGTCATTCTCATTTGCTTCACAACCTTTGTACTTCTGAATCTTCCTATATGTCTATTTAAATGCGTGTTTTCTTTTAAACACACCATAATTTAACTACTCCAACTGGAGATATAATGTCCTTACTCAATCCCTAGACCATTCATAGTCTATATCCCTAGTTTCTTGTATTGTCTCCACATTTCATGTAAGTGTGCTATATGTCCTTTACTTTAAGGGCAAAGATTACATCTTGGATATCTTTGCATTTTGATTTACATATAATATGGATTGTTTCAATGATTATTAAGGTAATAATTCAGAAAATACATAGCTAAGACTTCTCACTGTTCATTCCTGAGGTTTTGCTCTTTTTCAGTTAGTAATGCCAGTGGCCATAAATTTTTTAAATTTATAAATGTCCTTCATGACTGAAATTAATGAGAACTGCCTTCCAAGTATGTTGTTTTCACAAAGATCTTAATCTACTGAAAACTTTTCAAACCAATAAGCAAAGGACAAAATATTCAATAGAAAATTGAGAATAGAGAATGCATAAATTAATGAATACCATATAAAATATAAAAATATTCCTACCTTTACTTAAAGTTAGAGCTAGGCAAATTAAAATGGGAGTCCATCTTTTGCCAGGGCACAGTGTGGGTGAAAGAATGAGGAAAGAGGAAACTATATACATTATTGGTAGGGCAAGTTTGGTATGACCTCTTTGAAGGGTTATTTAGCAATATAGTGTACATTAAAATTTACCAAATCTTGTATTGAATAAGTCAACTTTTAAGGATTTTTTCTGTTCTTATAATTGTATAAAATCACACACACATATTTATAAGTTACAAAATGTTCACTGTATGATTACATTGGGATGTTGGAAAAGTCATGATGCATTTTTGCATAAAAAACATAAAAAAGTATGTCATGACTTTTCCAATAACACAATATATGATAGCAAAAGAGAACATAATGCTCTTCAAGATTAAGAAGCAAGCTATGATGGGGCTGGGATGTGAGTCCTTGTTTATAAATGCAGTGTTTTACTGCTGCCAATTGGACTAACTTAAGGCCATTTTCTTAGAAGCTCAAAATCCTCTATAGACATTGGTCTGGTTTTTTGCCAGAGGAAAGAGTAGTTGGGAGTAAGTCATAAACCTTACTATATTCATTAAACTAGTCAGCAATAGAGAAAAGACTATAATTCCCATCTTCTTGACTCTCCATTTATAAAACACTCTGCCATTCCCACCTCAGTTTTGAGTTGAATACATTTATTTAGCTTGGTTATGTTTCTGTTAAAAAAAATTCTAATGAATCATGGCATCCTGATAGCTGGCTTGTTTTGAAGTATATCTGATAAATGATTTATATATTAGATTTATTAAAAACACATCCATTACTCTGGGGCCATTCATGGATATTTAAATGAAGAACATGACATATTCAACCCAGCAGTTAAGATTCTCCTCAAATAGCCAAAGGATGGCTCACCTTTTGATGCCAGATCACAAAGGTACTCTGAGAACATGAATGAACTTGACCTCTTTAACTCAAGATTCACAAGCAGGACCACCACAGAAGATAGTCTTGCCTCCATTCTTTGTGGCTCAGAACTTCAAACTTCAATGGCAGACAACTGATTTTTCTCCTGCTCTGTATGACTTATCTAACTCACATTTGGACAATATGCAATTCTCAAACTAGGATGCAAACACAAATGCCAGTGTGCCTACAAGTTTAGGGAAGGAAGAATGACGGCAAGTTAAAAGATATTTCTAAATCAACATTGGGTTCAACATATTCATAATTCCTTCTAGGAAGTCAGTTCTAAAAGAGGCACTAGGTGAACAGAACATCAGGGTTCAATTCTCTCTTCCTATCTCTGTATTCTAATTAAGTTTTAGGGCATGCCAAAAATATTTTAGGGTTCAGACAAGAAAGAGGTAAAAAGGTTACTGGAGTGCAAGATTTCAAAATGCATCTCTTGAAAGCTAGGCTAATATATCAACCTGGATTAGTCTGCTAAAAATATGAAAACATAAAAACATCATAAATTAGTCAGATGTCCATGGCTGTAACCTATTTGCCTGATACCAGATGATAGGAAAAACAGGTGGCTTTAAAATAGCTGGAAAATGGTAAGTACTTATATGACAGATTCCTTTTAGTTTTGAGTCTCAAATGGATTGGTATCTTGTTAGGGTATGCAATTTAAAAGAAGGAGCTATGATTTGACTTGGACCAATGATAAGTTTTCTCATTTTAGGATTTCAGTATTCATTTAGAAAACTATAATACCATATAGTACAAATCCTTTATTAAATCAATGCATTCATTATCTGAAATAAAAGTTTTATTCAATCACTGTATTTTGATAGACTAGACAATTGCACACGGATAGACGATAATGGATAGAAGAGAGTGTCTTTGAAGAAGAGGTGCTCAGACCTCCTTTCTACGCATTCCCGGGGGATAGTCGGTTTCCGACGACATTGAGACTTCAGAAGGCTGGCAGGGGCTGTGAGGCAGCCCTACATAGTATAAAAAAATCAGCACATGAACCTGCTAACCATATAACTGGTGAGAGGAAAAAATGAAAAAAACCTGCTTAAAAATGTCATCTTTTAACCTATTTAGGGTGATCAGCTCAGATGGCTTTATGGCAACCCAGCCATGTGTATGGTAAGGACTCACTAGAAGCCATAATCAAGGTGAGTAAATCTGTGTCTGCTCTCTGCAAGCTCTACATGCTTACCTGATCTGTCCCTCGCCATTATTACCCAATAATTAGGGAAAAGCAGGAAGAGAACTGAGGGGGAAGAGCCTGAGACCTATGAGGCAGATACACACAAACACAACCAGAACAGAATATGCTAATAGGTATTTTCACAGCCTGATACACATAAGCAAGAGGACAATCATGGCTCATTACCAAAAGAAAAAGACAACTCACTTTCCTGTAATACCTACAACTTCCTTTGTGCACTGATAGTCTCTTTCTCACTTTTGTGTTTTGGATGCTGTAGTAGTCTTTGGCATAGACTAATTTTGATATTTACAGTCATTAAATCCTAAATTCTGCTGGCAAGAAGATATGGTTAATAAAATCAAGGAAACAGAATAAAACTGACTTACATATATCTTTGAAAGGTTTCGGAACCAAAAAAAGAAAAAAAAATCAATACATATTTGTGTACCCAAGAGCAAAACTTTGCTAGTTAAATATTGATATAAGGATCTGTCACCTAATGGCAAAAATTCGTTAAATTTCAAATCTTAAAGACGTCTCCCTCAATCACTGTGGCTTTCTTGCAGCCGTGTTCTGGATGAATACACTGCCACAAAGATCGCTGGGAAATGCTCTTTGGCAGCAGATCTGGGAAATTACGATGAAAAAAATACTCACAAGCACAAGTTGTGTAAAAAGATGGTTATGCTACTTCCAGAACATTTAATAGCTATTTGCATTTATTTACACACATAAGTGGCATCACCATATTAATATAAACTGTTTCTGTTAACAGCCTGAGGAAGTGAAAGGGAGAAGGGGAAGAGGCAAGAACTAGTGGCTTGGAAAGGCCAGAATCAGCAGCCCCTCACATCCAAAAACATTCCAAAAATTCCTTTCAGGAGGATTTTGCCATTTCATAAAAGGCAGTAATTCTTGGTTGGAAAGGAGTTACTTATGATCACATCTTTTCATTATTCCCCACCTTTCAATGCATGAGTGAAAAAAGGGCTAGCTGTACCTACTTACCTTTAGAAGTAAGGTAGGCGTGAGTTGGATGTGTTCTACATCCAGGTCACAGTGTTGCATCCAGTGTGTCTCTTACCTGGAACATGAATGCAGTGCTCAAACATGTTGGAACACATGCGACGGCTTTTTCTGGCCTGCAATATTCAGTGTCTTCATGCTGCTCAGGAATCCCCTGCCCACCCCAACTAATATACAAACAAAGCAAATATGCAGGACTCTAAAAGGGCTCTCAGACATACTGTAGTACACGCAATGCTCTGCACTTAGATCTGGAATTAAGATGCTTTTAAGGGCAGCTAGGTGGTGTGGTGGATCCCACAGGGCTCACTGCATGGTTCCAGTTCCAGACCCAACGGCTTGAAAAACATGCTGTGCCCAAAATCCTGAGAGGGAAGGGAGGCGATGGGATTGCAGCATGATCATGCCCCCTGGGAGTACTTTCTCACTTTATCTCTCTCTCTCTCGTAAGCACACACACTCTATAGCAAATCTTAAAAAAAAAAAAAAAGCCATTGAAAGGTTGTGACAAATCACTGTTTGCTTCATGTGAAAAAACATTCATATCAATAGGTGTTTGGGAGTGGCGGAGTCCGAAAGCAGCCTGGTAAAGACTAGGCAGCAAGTACCTGTTCTCATTCTCAGCGAGGCTGGAAGTGCTCAATATATGCACCTTTAAATTCCTCACTTAAAGCTTGAAATGACTGTACAAACAAAAATAATTGTTTACGTTGTTCTATCTTCTTAGTTCTAGAAAAGGAATAGATTTTCATTTTTTATGATAGAGCACACACACCAATACGTGACACAGAGAAAGAGTAAGGGAAGTGAATACCATGCAGTCTAGTCATTCATATCTCAATCCCCTTCTTCTAGGTGCCTGTCAGATCTTGGGCATTTGTGTGAATTCTGAGTGTGTTTTAGGATTCCAACTCCAGTCGCCATGTGGGATCTGGCTTCTCTTGAGCGGTCAGTTACTACTAGGCCATGGAGCCGGCATAATAGGCAGCTTTCCTACCTTTTTTTCCCTTAGACTCATTATGGGACTTGGCTCTGGACAATTTAAACTGTGTGTGAGAAACTGTAGAACTCTGAGACATTGTTTTATTCAGTCATAAAGAAAAATCCCTTTTCGGCGCGGCCCGGCCCGGCCGTGGCTGCTGCTGGCCAGACCCTGTGCAGGAGCCGGTGGCCTGCTGGGGAGCTTGGCGGCGGCGTGGAGACCCGCCGGCCGCTGAGCATGTCGGCGCGGGCGCGGAGCAGCTCAGAAGATAAAATAACAATCCACTTTATAAACCGTGATGGTGAAACATTAACAACCAAAAGAAAAGTTGGTGACCCTCTGCTAGATGTTGTGGTTGAAAATAATCTAGATATTGATGGTTTTGGTGAGTGTGAGGGAACCTTGGCTTGCTCCACTTGTCACCTCATCTTCAAAGAGCACATACTCAAGAAGTTAGAACCAGTCGCTGATGATGAGAATGGCATGCTTGATCTGGCGTTTGGGCTAACAGATCACGTTTGAGGTGCCAAATCTGACAAGATAAATGGACAGTATGACTTTCCGAGTACCTGACGCAGTGGCCGGTGCCAGACAGCCCATTGACGTGGGCAGGAACTCCTAAACTAGAATACATAGGATACTTTAATGAAATTTTACCTATTGTTGTAATTATTATTTCTTAATATAAGGAAATGAGAACATGGATGAATGCCTTTATTATTAGGACTAGCTTTATTAGTTTAATTCACCTTGTGTAACGACTGAATTTTGCAATTCTGAAAGTGTTCAATTTTTATTTTGGTTAAATTATAGAAATGTCAATCAAATATTAGAAAATAGTTAACATGATAAATATTTTACCTTACATTTGTTTAGCAACTTTAGCAAAATGTTTTCTCATAATCTTATGTCTGTTTACCTAAAAGCTAGGTTTAAAGAAGGATATTATTGTTCTTGTTAGATGTGGGTAAAGGCAGAGCTCTAAAATGGCTTGTCTAGACCCATACAACTAATTAGAAAATCTGTATTAGAATTTGTGTCTTGTACCTATTAAAAGCCCGATGTTCAGACTGAAACTGGAAAAAGGATGAGTATCTTATATGTAGAAGTTGTTAGATGTGAATGTGTCTGCTGAAAATATTTCATTGTTCAGTGAACTGTTTAATTTTGAAGACAATAATTTACTTCATAAATAAATATTTCAAATTTTTGATTTAGCAAAAAGTTTAAGTCTGAACATAGGCATTATGACACTATCAGAGAATTTGGTCTCTGTTTAGACTAAACTAGAGGAATAAACGGAGATGTCCTTACTCTTTTCCGAGAAAAAAAAAAAAGAAAAAAAAAAAAAGAAAAAGCCCTTTTCCAAAATAGACTTGAGGCCTAGACCATGGTGTCCTAAAGAAGTAAAATTAGGCTCAGAAGAACTGTCTTTGAAAGAAGCTCACCATGAAAATAGTGCAGAGGCACAGAAAAACAGTAGCTATTGTTTGTGAGGACAAATTAGATAACAGATATTGTTATGGGCTGAATTCTATCCCTACCTTTCAAATTCAAATGTTGATATTTTCACTCTCTCTCTCTCTCTCTTTAAAAAATTTTTTTAGAGATTTTTGCTATAGGGCACATGCACTTGCCAAAGAGAGAGACAGAATGTGAGAAATCACTCCCGGGGGGATGGCCACACTGCAATCCCTTCTCCTCCATTCTCCTCTCAAGATTTTGGGCGCGTGCACACACACACACACACACACACACACACACACACATACACACACACACATACACACACACACACACACACACACACACACACACACCTGGCATGAGTTTTAAGCTGCCAGGTCCAGGACTCAAACCATGTTTGACTGCATGGGAGTCTGGAGATATAATGATACACCCTTTGCTGGTCCCCATGTGTTAATATTCTAACTCCCAGGACCTCAGAATGTGACAGTATTTGAGAAAGGGCCTTTAGAGAGGTAATTCAATAAAATGAGTGAGGCCTAATTCAATATGACCAATGTCTTTATACAAAAAGATTAGGACACAGACAACACACAGACTGAGGGGTGACCATGGAGGGAAGGATATGATGAGAAGATGGCCATCTGTAAGCCAAGGAGAAGCCTCAGAAGAAATCAAATGTGCTGACACTTTACCTTTGGACACTTTAGCTTCTAAATCTGTAGAAAATAAATTGCTCTTGTTTAAGGTACCTAGTCTATGGCATTTTGTTATTGCAGCCCCAGCAAGCTAATACAGATTTGAAAGTGTCTGGTAATATATGCCATGATATACAAATGCTAGTCATCATCATTACTATTATGGAGAACATTCTAAAAGTAAGAGTGTGGGAGGACAGGTATCATGAAGGAGATAGGGAGCGGAAACCTTCCTGGGCACTGGGAAGGAACAGAATTCAGTAGAAATATATTGAATACTGAATACATGCTTGGGTGTACCAAGATAAATAAAATAGGCTTTTTGATCCCTAGTAAATGTCAACATGTAAGGAAGATGCTGAAGGAACTACAGAAGCTTGGGAAAGGGCAATTATCTCTTTTTGTTGAGTGTGGTGAGTGATGTAGAGGGAGAAGCAGTTTGCAAAGTTTTAATAAAAGGAAGGTAGCATTTAAGGTTCAAAAACCAAGACTGCCAGGACCAGCAGGTAGCATAATGGCTATGTCACTGGACTCCCATATAGTCGACCGTGGTTCGACTCCCGGACCTGGTGGCTTAAACTCATGCTGGGCGGTTGTGCGTGCGTGCCCAAGATCCTGAGAGGAAAATGGAGAAGAAAGGATTGCGACGTGACCATCCCCCCTGGAGGGCGATTTCTCACTTTCTGTCTCTCTGTCTCTCTTTGTCTTTCTGGCAAGCGCACGTGCCCTATAGCAAAAACCTCTCCCCCCCCCGAAAAAAAACAAAAACAAAAACCAAGACTGCTGAGCAGAAGAGAAGAAGACAGAGGAGGAAACTGATGCATGGAAGCATGCCATGTTGCTGGGAGAAGGCGCGCAGTGTGATAGAGGATGTCAAAGAGGAGAGAGTGCTGGGAGGTAAGGCCTAAAAAACAGGTTGACGTCAGTCAATTTGTGAAGAGTCTTGAATGCTGTGTGAAGGGATCTGAAACTTATTTAGGCAATAAAGATGGAGTGTGTGGGACCAGCAGTTAGCGTAATGGCTATGTTGCTGGACTCCCATGTAGTCGACCGCGGTTCGAGTCCTGGACCCGGTGGCTTAAACTCACGCCGGGGGCGTGTGCGTGCATGCCCAAGATCCTGAGAGGAGAATGGAGGAGAAGGGATTGCGGCGTGGCCATCCGCGCTGGAGGGTGATTTCCTGCTTTCTGTCTCTCTGTCTCTGTCTTTCTGGCGAGTGCACATGCCCTATGGCAAAAACCTCTCAAAAAAAAAAAAAAAAAAAACCAAAGATGGAGAGTGTGTGTGTGTGTGTAATTATCTCCATAGTTCTCCACTCTCTGCTCTTATCTGTTCTTTTCTCACTTTCATACCTTTATCTAGATTTCACGCACCTTCTCTCTCCTAGTCTACCAGAGTCCTTTGGCAAAACAGTTCCTTGAAGGCCATCTTTTCGGGGGACTTCATTGATTTTCCACTGACCTATTCTGGAAAGGTAACTGGTAGTATGGATGTGACCTAGACCCTACGTAAGGTCTGTTACCAATTAGATGGAGATTTTAGGGCAAATTATTTTTGCAGTTAATTAAGAACCGACAATAATGGTCACTCAGAGAAATCATGGTAGCCAACATGTGTTGAGGCCAAAGCATCAGTTGACTATATGAAGTGTATAAAGTTGATGTGCACCCTGTTCTCTGATCTAGACATTCTTTCTTCCTTTCCCCTTCCCCCAGCCCTTTCCTCTCTTCTCTCTCTGTCTCCAGGGTTGTCAGAAAAGTCATGGCATATGTTTTTCTATGAAAAAGATGGAGAGTGTGTGTGTGTGTGTAATTATCTCCATAGTTCTCCACTCTCTGCTCTTATCTGTTCTTTTCTCACTTTCATACCTTTATCTAGATTTCACGCACCTTCTCTCTCCTAGTCTACCAGAGTCCTTTGGCAAAACAGTTCCTTGAAGGCCATCTTTTCGGGGGACTTCATTGATTTTCCCCTGACCTATTCTGGAAAGGTAACTGGTAGTATGGATGTGACCTAGACCCTACGTAAGGTCTGTTACCAATTAGATGGAGATTTTAGGGCAAATTATTTTTGCAGTTAATTAAGAACCGACAATAATGGTCACTCAGAGAAATCATGGTAGCCAACATGTGTTGAGGCCAAAGCATCAGTTGACTATATGAAGTGTATAAAGTTGATGTGCACCCTGTTCTCTGATCTAGACATTCTTTCTTCCTTTCCCCTTCCCCCAGCCCTTTCCTCTCTTCTCTCTCTGTCTCCAGGGTTGTCAGAAAAGTCATGGCATATGTTTTTCTATGAAAAAATGTGTCATGACTTTTCCAGCAACCCAATAAAATAACATCTATCAATTATGGAGTGCAGTTGAATACTTAACGACAAGTTATAAGATTAATTGGAAATGCATGCTACCCCTTGGAGAAGTTTCAAGAGGAACCTTCATTGACTCATGCTTATAAAGGAATAAGGAAAGTCACATTCACCCTTTATTCCAAACAAACTCTCATTATATCTGTTCAAATAGCCCCATAGAACCTTTCGACTGTGGATGCAAAGCTGAAGGACACTACAGAATATGAATCCAAACAATTATAGAAATGGCTAAAATAACAAAAAATAGTCTTATTACCAAATTCTCTGCTCCTGTGTACCAATTTGTAAATTAAAAGTAAGTGTGCACACCTTTGATCTCTAACTTTACCTTCAGTGCACTACTAAAAAACTTCTATTCTGGACAACAGTTAGTTTTTATGTTCTTAAAATTCATTCTTCTAACGAATCTAAAAAATCCATTATATAACTTTAGTTATAGAGAGGCAATTCTTAGAGACGCAGTATCAATGAAGTGATTAAAAACAATAGCTCTGCTGTCAGATTACTCAGGTTGAAGTCCCGGCTCTATAGTTTGTAATGACCTTGTGCAGGTCATTTTAATCTCTTTGCACTTTAAAAAATTTACTGTAAAGATTAAATCAGATTATGTAAATAGACTGTTTCCATAGCACAACAGTTGATGCCAACACCAGTTACTAAATAGAAAAAACATTCTCTCTAAATTCTGGGCCTCAAAATATATTGTGCAAGTGAGCTTCAGTGTACATTTGGCTCTTTCCACATAGAATGAAGGGAGCCAATGCCAGATACTTCTCCTGTTCATGACTGCAACTCTATTGGTTATGGGCAAGAAATGGCAATGCTAATGCAAATGATAACCCATGATACCAGAAATAGCAGTTCAATTACAAGTTTCAACCAGGTCAATAGAAGCTCACTTTACATAGCTCTAGCAGGGAGCTAAAAGGTCAGGAAGTTCGTGCTGACAGAATATTTTTGAACCTTTGAAGCAAAGCAGATGTTTATACCTGGGTAGGTAGATTTATTTTGGGTCTAACTACTTAACAAAAGGGCTGCAAAAGGCACTATTAAAATCCTTAGCCCAACTTTGCACTAATGAGACAAAGACATTTCACAATAGTAGTGTTCAGAACAGCTAGTGTGAAGAACTCACGTCTTGAGCAGAACGGCAGAGGTCCTGTTTGTCGATCTACACGCTAAGGCAGCAAACCTCATGGATAATTTCTCCTTTGGGTAAAT